GCATCAATATGTTCAAAACGTTTTTTTTCAAAATGTAAAAAAAATTATAAATAGTGAAAAATTAAATATAAAATATTCCTAGTGTGAACCAAAATACAAGTGATTTTTCTGAACCAAAATGACAAAAATGACATAAAAACACATATTATTCTAGTACGGGTCCTTTTTGACCCACTTATGGAAGAGTGTAGGGTCCAGTCACTCGTGCATCTAAGGGTTAAGAATCCTCTCTAACTCTGTGATGCTGTCTTTGTTTTACACACGCTGTAGGGCTTTCTCCACTGTCCTCTGAATATTAGAGTCAAACTGCTGGAGTGGAAAACATCAGCGCGTAACTACAGATCGGTTATCCAACATCGCCAGGTCGCTCTGTAACCCCAGCGCTGTGTGACTGAGGCCAAGAGTGGGCTGGATGCACACTCCCAAAGAGAATATCTGCCTCTCTGAGTGCTTCCAGTAAACTGGAAATGAAAAGACATCCTGTTACAGAAATAAAGGTTAGAAAGGAGGCGTGGGAGGAAGAGAGGGTGACAGTGATGTACTGCTTGTGGTCGACGCAAAAGGTAAGAGGACAAGCAGCTGGTGTTAGAAAGGAACTTGTGACTAAATAACAACTTGAACATTATCTTTGATGTATTCAGCCAATATACTCTCACTGAATGAACTTCAATCAACATTTTCTATTGTCATTGTGACACAATTTACGTTAGATTTGGGTGGTCAGGTATCTGGTGAGTTTAGAAAAAGTTGAATACAGTGCTAGTGGAGCCTCGCAGATGGGGGTGCTACAGCCCCCTCAGCACCCCCCCCCTTCCCGCGTCCATTCGCGATGTCTCGCAGACCCCACGCAGCTATCAGGAAATGAACCCAGCTCACACTGTCTGCTCCACGCAGCAGCGAGCCCCGTAACGTCTCGCCAACACGGCACCCAGACCCCACGCAGCATTCTCACCTGTTTGTCATTACTGGTGTCATTTTCTGGTTGCTAACTAACGCCATTGTAACACATAAACACTGATGTTCCGCTGTAACGGTGGTGGACTCATCAGAACAGAGTGGGCGAGCTGACCAATCAGAGCACAGCGGGTCTCTGAGGAGGGGTGTAGGCGGCATGCTGGCAAAACACTGATCTGACGTCAGCGTCACTTTTCCAGGAGCTTCTGAAATCCCCATTAGTGTTCCTTACATCATCTCATTTCCCAGGCTTTTTAATATCAGCGAGCCAGGCTGAACTCAACATAGAAACATTGTGCCTGTTGAATAAATTATACTAGGATCACTGAGGGAATGGATGTGGGAGTATTATTACCTTGACAAGAGCTTGATGCTTTTCAATCCACTGTTGGCAACTAAATAAACACTGAAGTTAAGTCCATAAAACTGAGGTAGGTCGACTGATTATTATTCCATTTATCAAAAAGATGTTAGAATATCAAAAAGTGAAGGAATTACATATTTTGTTTATAAAATAGTTCATGGCACTCAATTTGCAAAATATGGCTGGATTTCTTTAGAAGATTTTTGAAATAAACAAGTGGAAAACATGGCGACAACGTCCGCCATGATAACTTTATAGTCCAGGGCTCTAAGATTAAAATGACGTAGATTATCATGCCTGGCCTCCTGCTGTCATATCTGTTTGACTCTAGCATCTCACACAGGAAACCTCTCTTTTGTGCGGAGGAGGTGAAAGAGACCGTCCACCTGTGATGAACCTTGAAGCTGTTGATCATGATCTACAGTTAGAGCATCTGCAGCTAAATGACTAAGACTAAACACACTCGTGATGAAGGTGGGAGGAGAGTGAGGGGACAGTACCTGGTTGTCATGTAAATCCAGGATGTTCAGTTTGGAGAGGCTTTCCAGGCAGCAGATCTTATGGATTCTGTGATTAAAAAAGAAATGGAGAATATGACAATACAATATTTGTGAAAATGTAAACGATCAATACCACAGTCAAAGTACAAAGTACATACAGTATACTCAAGTAATTGACTATTTAAACATACTTGTACTTTACTTAAAGGTAGGGTAGGTAAGAATGGAGAAACCAGCTCGAGTGCGCTAGAATTTGAAAATACACAGCTGAAAAAAATCTGCCCCTTCCTTCAGACTTCCTTACAGAGCCCCTCCTCCAACACACACCAACGCGCACATGACCAANTAAAAAAAGAAATGGAGAATATGACAATACAATATTTGTGAAAATGTAAACGATCAATACCACAGTTAAAGTACAAAGTACATACAGTATACTCAAGTAATTGACTATTTAAACATACTTTGAGTAAGTTTGTGCACAGATGGAAGGCTGACGGGCAGGTAGGCCATCCAGTTGCTTTAGCCGGGCCGGCTCAGATGATTGGTCGTGCTTTTTACAGCGCCACGGCTTCCACAGATGACATTTGTTTATGTATTTATTGTCAAAGCATTTCATATATTCATTGCTATCGGGATGTTAAGAGCATTCCATGGAATATAACAAAAAGTGTTTCTGAAGTGAATTACCTACCCCACCTTTAAGTAATTCAATGTAATGCTAAATATATACATGTTTAATAAAAGGGATTTTAAATGCAACTCTTACAAACAACATGAATCATTAAAATAATGTGACATGTATATGTTGATGATACTGAATAATGGTATTTTAATTGCAAAGTACTACAATATTTTAAAGTTATAATGTGAAAAAAGCCATTGGGCATACTGTGATTATACTACTCGTACTTCTAGGACTTTTACTTGTTATTAAGCATTTTAAGATCATAGTATTTCTACTTTTGGGTCAAACATTTTAGTACTTCTTCCACCTCTGAAAACACTTTTGCCCATTCTGAAAAGTTGCATAGAAATAAATGGGAATGTGTGCCTTTGTGAGTGTCTATGGACAGGTCATAATGAGGACAGCTAACCAACCAACAAACGCATTAATAGGTCACTTTCCAAGAGGAAACCGGACATAGTGTACAGTAACCTAATGTCCATGGGAGTTTATATCCGACTACCTGTAAGCATAAACGGCTAGAGTCTCTTGAAAAAGGCCAATGGAAAGCTTAATCAGTTTTATTCTTTACTCCACATACGGCGCGGGAAGGCGGTTTAAGAAGAGAAATGTCATGATTTACAGAAAGTGAAACAGATGCCAGAGAAGGTCAGTAAGATCTTGATGTCATTTACAGTGATTTATGACTTTAATATTCCTTCTGTTGACCTTCTGGAATAGAGATTACTAACTATATGAATGGTTTTCAAATTGATCAAGGGACCTGCTGTATGTATAGAATTACATATTGATCAAGGGACCTGCTGTATGTATAGAATTACATATAAGTAACATTTACACATGTCGAATGAAACCATAAATCTCAAAATGTTTTATAAAAACAACGGCACACACCCATCACATACTTTTCAAAATGTTGGCTTGGAACCACAAATGCAGTGCATCATTTATCTGTTTACATGTTTACCGACCGCGCTGCGGCTGCCAAATTGAATTTATTGAAAACTCCAATATCAACGTAAGAGCTTGTGCCTCTTCGAGGGGTGCTAACACGTAACCATAAACGTTATCGTTTACTTTCTCCGTCTTTATATGTAGATATAACTTTGTCTCCGTTAATCTCTTTCACGTTGTTTCCATAGCAACAACAACTTCCTTTCAACAGCGCTAACTCTCCTTCATTATACTTAAGAAATAAACAACTGCAACGAAAGTAAAAAACACAATATCCTTTTCAATTTCAAAGAACACAAATTGGGTTGTATACATTAACAAATAACTATAAAACAACAATACTGTAGTACAGGGGTCGGCAACCCCTGGCACGCGTGCCAGCATTGGCACACTAGGAATAAGTGGAATAAGTGTGCAAAATATTTAAATTGTATTTTCGGATCCTGAACGAGACCGCCGCCAGAGCGCGCAAATGCCGCAGTTTTTGCGTGGCTGTGTATTTAGTTGAAAGCCCAGTGGCGATCTGCTCATCTCTCATCGAAATAATATGCTACAAAGGGGCGGACTGGCCATCTGTGTTTTGAACTTTCCTGTCGGCTCCCAGACCGTAGTCGAGGAGGGCAGAAGCAGCAAGCTTCAGGTTCAATAACCCACTTTAGCTTAAATGACTGGAGAGAGGCGAGCTCTTCTTGGGAGGCTGTTGCATTTATTTAGCTGTTCTTCTGTTTCACAAAATACATCACAGACCTCTGTTTTTCTGCTTCCTCGTTTCACTTCCAGAAACATACACACTGTCGCTCTACCATCCACAAACACACATGCACAATCTCTCTCTCTCTCTCTCTCTCTCTTAAAGGGACAGCGATCTCATCTCACTCTGCATGACCCTAATATCATAACATGTGTGCTCTGGAGAATCACAGAACGGACGATCGTCCTTATTATTATGCCGTTTAAACCAATTATTTAAATGTTGTTTAGTTAAATTCAGCATCATGTAAG